ACAAAATAACTCAGTCCACACAATGGCTGGAAGAAGCCGATTTGTTCTTAATCCCCTTTTGTAGATGAGGAAATGGAGACAGAACTGCGTGCGGGGTCTGTATGCTCAGGGGTGGGTGTTGTGGGTGTTGTGGGCGCTGGCGGTGCCTGGGGAGAGGAGGAGGTCTCCCCAGGCATGGACTTCTGTGCCTGGAGATGTGGGGGCTGCAGGATGAAGCCTCACACGGACGCTTTGCACATGTGGGTCCCCAGATGCCTGTGGCCCTCAGCTGCTGACCACTTCCACCGTACATGGGGAAGAGTCACAGGGTCTCGCTGCTGATTCTTACCTTCCTCCTTACACTCTCCTTGTGCATTTCTTAGTGCTGGGCACTTGGCTGGCTATTGGGCCAAGCGGGACCTGAATGGAGTCCTTCTAGCCCCAAGAGCTCTCAGCTAGTCGGGAGGGAATGGGAACAGGCAAATTGTCCCCTAGGGGCCACTCTTCCAGGTACAGAGCACGGGTGCAGTGGAAAGGATTATAGCTGGTGTGGCCTCTCGGCAGCTCACCTGTGCTCCAGACAGCAGAAGAGGGAGCTGGGGGCAGGTGAGAGCTGGGGCAGAAGCAGCTCATCAAGGGCCAGCGCTAGGGATGGAGCACTGGGGGCCGATGGAGACATCTGACTGCATAGCAGGACCAGGTCTGTATTTTGAAGATGGCCCTGGCTGTGGCATGGAGCCAGAGCTGCAGGGGGCCCCATCAAAGGGTCAGGAGAGGCTGGCTAGTGGCCTTGCATGTGCCTTAGGGTGGACTTGTGGTAGTGTCCTTTCCAGGATGCGCTCTCCAAAACCGTAGGTCTGTGGGAGGGTGATTGTAGTCTGGAGAACATTTTGTGCCTTTAGCCTCACTGTGTGCAGGTAAATGGCTTTACCATGCATTTTAGCTTCTTCCAGGGTATTTACTGAGGTTGCAAAGACCAGTGAGTCCTGGACGTGTCAGAGTGCGGGGCAAGGAGGGCTGAGATCTGCACTGGGCTCTGTGCTTGGGGAGAGCGGTCTCCATCTGCCTGCCTGAAACATTATAGGTTCTGGCTTGACTGTGGCTGCCTGTGATTGCTGCACTGAGGAGGGGCCTAGCTTTCCACCCCTGACCTAGTTGCTCTTCCTGTGAGCTCTCCGGCCCCTGGATCAGTTGCAGCAAGAGTGTGGGCAATAAGCAGGCACAGTGCGATGCTTGGTCATGCACACAAACTCATTCAGTCCTGCAGTAGGCCCTAGCAGGGTGGGAGTGTCCCCCTTATTTAAAGATGAGAAAGGGGGCTCAGAGAGTCAGGAGACACACCCTAGCCACACAGCTACTCCCTGAGCCTCAGAGCATCTCTACAGGGTTCTGTCTTTGCATTTGTGTGGTCAGGGGTAGCTGACCACGTGGCCTCGGGGAGGCACAGAGGTCCAGGGACAGGAATGGAACCAGAAGGAGATGAATGCCCCACTCTACCTGGCCTCTCCTTACCCCAAGGCAGGGAGGCTGATCCCTGTAGATGGAGTCTCATGGCCCCTTACCCAGGCTTATAAGAATCTAAATCAGGAGAGACCTCCACTCAGGTCAACTTGCACTTGACTTCTTGGCCAAGACAGCAGCCAGAGCAGGGGCAGCCCAGCTCCTCCCGCTCCAAATGTGCAGGACACACAGCCTTTCCTCAGGCCACTCGCTTAGCTGCTCTAAGTGCTGTGCATGGTCCTTCCTGGAGTTACACCGTGGGCAGAAATCACCACCTCCTCAGACCTGTAGTTCCCCTCTGAGTGCCCGGGGTTGCAGCTGGCTCCGGGCACCACAGGGGCAGTGATGTCAGACCGCTCCGACTCCTGAAGTTCTGAGGTTCACCGCTCGGCTTTCCAAGGAGTCACGGAGAGTCCCAACCCACAGGACAAACATCTCAGGTGTTTCATAAGAGATTCAAACGGAACTAATTCTGTTTTCCTCCCTTATCGCTTTGCACACACGAAATCTATTTTTAATTAACTTTCGATATATAGTCTAAAAAAAAAATCCCACAGCTTGTTCCCACCCCCAAATTGTTCTTTGAGAAAGATTTATCTTGTAAGTTTCTTAAGAAAATCTATACATCCTCAATGCATTTAAATAACGTTCATTAATGTGACCTGCATGCAAGCCGGCTTCTCTAGTCACAGATGAGAGACAACCGCTTGACCTATTGCAAATCAAAAAAGCATTTTGCACACCACCTTTATTTTTCAATTGGTTAAGTTTTAAATTAAAGTCCCAGTGCCCTTTTTGGGAAGGCAGACTAATAGAGCTCCGACTGAAATTTTTGTTCAGTCGATTGGAAGATAATTACAAGAAACAAAATGTGAAATTTTAAATCAGAGCACTAATGAAGTCTAAAAATACCAGTGGCCCATCCCTCTAGCTGGCACAACCTGTTCCTCGTGAAGGGGGATCTCTCCATAATTATTCAACCCCGCGAGAGGGCAGGCTGTCACGTCAAATAGTCGGCAAAATCTCGGGGCTGTAATGAGCTAGATCGCGAGGCGTTCTGCGGTGGATCTTATTATAATGCTGGGCAAGGTTTCAAACGGAGAACAGGAGAAAAGGAAAATTCTTCCTTTCTTTTTTTTAAAAGTGGAGTTCTGACTTGTGTTGATGCCATCACGCAGCGCCTCCTGTTCCTGCCTGGACCCAGCTGTCTGTCATTTAGGAGTGTGAAATCAGTTGGGTCTCAGAGATGTAAAATCCCTAGGGGCAAAATTAAAAGTGACCCAAATCCAAGCCCACGTGATCCTGTCAGGATTATGACTCTCCCGTGGCAAGTTTCAAAGATTTGGTTTCAAAATTCGGGTTTCTTATTTAAAAAAAAAAAAGCAGTTGTTTGACATTAGATCTGACAGACAAATTATAGTTCCAGCAATAAAGGCTTTTAAGATTAGAAATGAAAGAAATTATTTAAAAAAAAAATCCAGGCTTGCATTTTGCATGCTTCCTTGTCTTTCTTCCCGAAAGTGGAAGAGTACAAACCCCATCCGCAGATGAGGGCCGTGACCAGAGAACTGAGGTAAGTGTAATTTCGGGGGAGTCACCAGTTTGTTGGCACCTACGGAGATGAACGAGATGCCCGGGTCACCTGTGGTCCCTGGCTGGGCGGGGGACCTCGCGCACAGGCTCCCGGGCTGTGGGGCTCGGGGTGCTCTCTCCACCCTCTTCCTCCCGGTCCCCATTCGGACATGGCCCAGCCTGGAGGGCCAGGCAAAGCCAATCATGTCAAGCCCCGCTTCCTTCTGCTGTCCTGCCGAAGGCTGGAGACCACAGAGGACGGCCACACCTCCTGGCCTTCACGGTTGTCCGCCCCGAGCAGCTCTGACCACCCAGGGCCTGCCACCTGTGTCTGCTCCGCCCTGTGTGGGCTCAGGGCCGCTCTGGTGAGGTGGATCCCAGCCCTGAGCCCAGCCCCAAAGCAGGGACTGCCGTGCATGGGACTCATTCACTCCTACACAGAACAACTCTTCCTAAACGGACTCCAGAATGCCGTCACCATGGGAAGAGGGCAGCACCCCGTGCCTGGTGGTTTGGCAGAGCCTGGGGGACAGCTGGGATGCCCATGGCCCAGGGTGACAGAGTTGGTGGCTCATGAACAGAGGTATGTTGTGGGTTTTTTTTGGAGGGGGTGGTTTACTTTTTAAAGGGAAAGGAACTTAATCAAAATAATACAACCCATATATATATATATATATTTTTTTTTTTTTAGTCTATTAAATGATGTTTTTAAAGCAAGCGTTTACCAGCATTTAGGTATCATTTTCTACAATGTTGTCACCTAAAACTAGTGTTCATTTCTGAAACAAAGCCAACTGGGCTCCACCAGATTGGAGCGAAACTCAGCAGAGATGTAGATGTGGGCTCTGTGGATGAGATGCTTGACCAGACCCCAGAGTGGCTCGGACGGTGAGGACACCCGCTCCAGTTCAGAGATCGGGTGGGAAGGGTGTGGCTAGTTGGAATCATCACTCTGCTACCGGTCAGGGTCCCTGAGATGGCCCCTCAGGGATCGCAGTGAGGGATCGAGAAGCCCGGCCTAGACACATGCACTGCCTAGCACCATCTACTGGACCTTCAAGGAGGTCCAGGCACCCCGGCAGGGCAGGCTGCCCACTGTGGACACTCCTGGCTCCCTCTGCCTGGGGTGGCTTGCATCTGCTGGAGGCCCAGTAGCCCACCCTGTGCCCTGACATGTCTGTCCCTGGTATTAAGGGAGCCTCAGGCTGGTCCCTGGCCATCCCAACTCAGACAGGTGTCAAGAGTGAGGCCTACTCCTGGTGTCCTCTGCCCTGATCCTGGCACTGGGCTTGTGTGGAGCACCACGTCCCTTCCAGAGTGTCTGTCCCTGAAGATCCAGCTTGGGGCAACCTGGGAGGAAACTTCTCGGGCCTGAGGAATGCAGGTTTGCTGAAGGCCAGGGGAGCTGCACTAACTTGGGTCTGACAGAACCACCTCAGGTCCTCAAAACCAAAATCCAGTGCTCACATGGTCTGGGGATGCTCCTGGGCCTAATAATCCTCAGGTGCCACTCAGCCCATTCTGTAGAGGGGTGTTCCCATGCAGGGCCATGGATGGTTGGTGTTGAATGTCCTCAGGGGCCAAAAGTGGAGACAGCCCCCCACCACTGTTCCCAGGGAGCTCCCAGGGTGGCAAGAACACGTTGGCCTGGCTGGAGGTCCACACAGAGTGCGACTGGGCTCTGGGCTCTCCCTTCCTTCCTCCTCCTCGCGTCTCTCCTTGCCCATGCAATGTCCCCTCTCCGCCCTCACCCCTGCCCTGCCTGGCCTCGCCTGTCTGAGGCTGGTCTCTCCCGGGCCGGGGAGGCCCCACTGCAGCCTCCAGGCTGGATGAGGCCAGGGAAGGAGCCACCACAAAGCACCCTCCCGCTCGGTCCTTGCTCTGCAGGAGTGGCCAGTGGGGAGACGCAGAGGCAGGCACACAGCGAGGTGTGCAGACGCAGGCCTTACCTTTGGGGTGCCCCGGGTCGGTGAATTCATACTTCCCCACACCGATGGTGCGCAGCAGCTGCAGGCCGTGGGCTGAGTCGGTTGTGGGGGGCCCATTGGTGGCAGGGCCGCTGTTGGGGAGGGTGGCTGACGGCTGCGCTGGTGGCGGCGGAGGCAGCAAGGGCCCTGCCATGTGGCCGTTGCCCACAGCGGTGGGTCCCGGGCGGGCCACCTGCCCCACCCCGGGCAGTGAGGACACAGCCAGGGGCTGAGGGCTGGCGTACAGCGCCTGGGCAGGCACGTTCACCATCACGCTGCTCAGCGGCTGGGAGGGCGGCTGCGGGAGCGAGTAGTGGCCCGGCATCAGCGGGATCCGGGGCCCCACGTGGGGAGGCAGTGAGGGAGTCACCCCAATGACTGGGGCCTGGACGTTCACAGCTGAGCTGAAGGTGGGAGGCTGGGCCACTCCATAGGAGTGTGCAATCAGGGCAGGCTGGCTCCCCGCGGCCACCGTGGTCACCCATGGTCCTGTGCCTGCAACGGAAACGGAAGAAATGTTATCTGCTGTGACATATTCATTCAACAAACACCGACTCCCGCAAGCCCTGGGCTGGGCCCTACAGTCAGCTGTAGGGACTCTGTCCAGGGACGCAAAGTTTAAGAATCTGTCATTACAGCACCTGGCCTAACGCTTTAAGGGGGTTTGAATACCCACCTGTGGGGCTTAGAAGGGAGCAAATCTTCTAAAAGAGATGAGGAGCAGCAGAGCAGAAAGAGGACCTGAGTTCACGCCCATATTCCAGGCTGGGAAGGCATGTCACCGACATGTAGGGAAGTTACGATTTGATAATGGAGAGGTTGGCAAAAACCGGGAACCGACAAACACTGGTGATTTTTTTTTTTTTTTTTTTTTGTCTTTTTCCTTTTTATCGGTACCGGGGATCGAACTCACGACTGCCTGCTTGCAAGGCTGGTGCTTATGCCGCTGAGCTAGATCCCCAGCCCCTGACGACAAACACTGGTGAAGGCACGCGGGCAGGACTCTCAAGTGAGTTGTGAAGGGGAGCTGCCCCACGTCTCAAGGCCAGGGCGAGCCTCTGCAGCTCTGCTCTTCCCAGCACTAGCCTGGAAAAGTGCCTCAAAGTCAGAGCCAGCCAGTGAGGCTCTGGACACCTGTGGGGTGACCACAGAGATACAGTGGCATCCAGGTGATCCATTTGTGACAAAGGGGTGTCCAGAGGGGACTGGGGGCCTAAAAAGAGGCCTCTCTCCTGTGCAGCAGGTCCTGGTCATCATTTGAGGTATGACATGGACACTGCCATGCCCAGGTCTGCAGGGACACAGTGTCAGGAGGGTTGGGAATGGGGCAGCAATGGACACAGGAGACCCTGGAGATGCGTGGGGAGAGTGCTGTGCCCAGATCTGTCTGCCCTGGCCAGGTGGACAGGGCCCTCTGCAGGACGGCCTTGATGTTCTGCGGAGACAGAGTGTGGTCTGCAGCCTAAGTGCAGTGGTCAGAGCAGAGGCACTGGGGGACAGAGGTGCTGGTCAGACCACCTGTCAGGCTGCATTGTAGCCTCGTACTTCAAAGGGTTTGGGGAGTGGAGCAAAGACCCAGGAGGCAAAGGATCTGGACTTCACAGGCTCTGGGACCAGACCAACGGGCTGGAGGCACTCCTCCTGCAGGAGGCTTGGAGGGGGTGAAAGTGTCTCCAGGTATTGGAGACACTGCATACTCTGGAGGAGGAGGCACGGGGGCCTTGGGCAGGTGAAGAGGAGGGCATCCGTACTGGTCTGAGGACTGGGATGCTGTAGGAGATGGGGTTCACCCTGGCTCTGGGGTGGTGCAGCCCTGTTCCCATGTAACCCTGGATCAGGCAGGCTTCCCCGGATGCTGTGGCTTGCAGAAGTTGTTATGAATCGGAGTACAATATGGGTGTTTGGGAATGATTATTAAAACAGCATGGAGCTGATTCAAAGTCATTCCTATCATGTCATTTTCATACTCTCACTCTCCAGTACTTTGTAGAGAAGCAGAAACAGAAATAGAGACACAGCTACCACACGGGGAATGACGCCAGGGCCCCCTGCCCCACCCCACCCCCACCCCAAGCCTGAGATCTGGGCTTCAGCTGCAGAGGGCCTGGCACCCAGAGCGAGGTGTCTCTGCTTGCGGCTGAAGCACCCACCTGGATTGTCGCTCTCCCTCATCTGCTTAGAGGGCGGCTCATCAGTGTCCCAGGGTGTGGACTGATTGATGGGTGTCTGCCCCCACCGGATGCTGGTCGCCAGCCCCTGGGACTGATTGTCTGATTTGGAGATGCCGGGAGCCTGCAAGAAATGGACAGGGATGGTGAGCACAGCCTGGCCTTGGACGCTGCCCTGGGATATGTCTTCTCCAACAGTACCCTCGAGGCCCAAGCTCTGTCCACTGGACTCAGGGTCAGAGGCAGAGCCCAAGCTGCTCAGGGAACTGCAGGGGACCTAGGCAGGCAGCAGCAGCTGTGGACTCTGCAGAGCTCCTGCCCACAGGAACCCCAGCCAGTGTCCCTCCCCCTGGCACCCTGAAGTTTCCACACCGCCTGAGCCATCTTGGCCAAGAGTGCTCTGTATTCTGTGACACATGAAGTCCTGGTCCTCAGATCATCAATAAACCACCAAAACGCAGATGTTACCCATATATACAGGGCATGTGCTGAGCGCTAACTGTGTACCCAGCCCAGCCCATTGATACAAGCTTTTTACTGAAATTCCTAAAGGGATGGCAAAACGCTCACTCTGCAAGGTTCTGGGTACCCTGAGGTGTCAGTGAGGGGGGCTGCATGCTCCCCTTCCTGCCCCCACCCCGGGTGCTGAGGTCTGAATCCCTCACAGAGGAGCGGGGAGCTGAGGACCGCAGGGTGGACAGCTCAGACTCTGTTCCCAGGCGGGTGGGACCTTGGGCTGCTCCCAGATCCCAGAGCTCGCACTTTCATTTAGATCTGCAGAGTAACAGGAACGTGAGCCCAGGGTGAACACAAACATCGGGCCAGTGCCAGCCTCACCGAGTTACAGCCTTGTGGTGAACTATTATGCGGTCACTAAGCATCTCTTTACTAGAAATTCCTCACAAGATGGCAAAACACTCCTGCTGCAAGGTCAGTGTGGAAAGCCACAAAAGAACACAGGAGCCCTCCTAGCTAAACTTCTCAGTGGCAAATAATATGGACAGGAAGGAAGTTACCAAATGTTAGCAGGGTTGCTATCCTTGGGTGGCTTCAATGCTCTGTCTCCACTTTTCTGTAGTTATTAAATTTTCTGCTACACCATCTTTACAATAAGCCAACAAGACAAAACCTCCTGAACACATGCTGGAGAGATGGGGTGGGACACCTGGGGTCCGAGGAGGTGTGGGCCTCAGGGGAGCATCTCTAGGAAGTGTGGCCGCAGCTCCCAGGAGCTGACCCAGGCAAGGAGGATAGGGGCAGAAACGGCTGCCCACCGGGGATGGCAGAGAAGCCTCAGGTAAGGGCCACCGTCCTCATGGTGACCGCTATCAGCACCTGGCCCAGTGCACAGCTAGAGGAGGTACAGCTCCTGCCTGTCCGGACCAAAGTCACTGTCCTGGGTCCTAGGCCAGCCTGGGAGAAGGAGGTGTGGATGAGCAGGCTGGGCAGCACTTCTGGGGCTTTGCTGCCCAAGGCGGGCAGCTTGCAGCTCCAGCACCAGGCCAGCAGGAGGAGCAGGGGTGGGGGGTTGGGGGGGTGGGGGGGTTGGGTGGAGCCTACGGTCTTAGGCTGCACTTTCTCTCCAGCCTGCATGTGAGATGCTCTGCCTCTGGGAGCAGAGGAAGAACTACCCCACCCACAGCGTCCTTCATGGAGCCCTGACCCCATTTCTGTCTGGTGGGCAGATGGGACAGGGGGTGGCTGGAAATTTAACCAGGCTCGCTAATAGGTTTAGGGAAAGACAGTGAGGTGTCTCTGGCATTCTCCAAATACACAGCTTTCAGCATGTGCCTGGCCTAAAGAAGAAGCTGTTTACCCCTTCCGCAACCCTTTCTGTCTTTCCAGATCTGGGAGGCAGAGCTTGCTTCCCTGGGAATCAGAGGACCAAGGACCCTGGGCTGTGTCCTGCCCTGGCCCCTGTTAGGGGCAATTTGGAAAGTCCTCCTGCCAGAAGGGGGCACTGCAGCCCCACTCTGCCGCCTGGATCCCCCCAGCCTCCCAGGCGGAAGGCAGCCCAGGTTTTCAGAGTCCTCCCACTCCCACCATTTATTTCTGCCTTGCTGGCTCAGCATGGCACCTTGGCAGGAGAGTGAAGGGTTCTGGCCTCTTGCCCAGGAAGGGCCATTGCTGCCAGGAAAGGTGGGTGGAGTCTGTCTCCTTCTTGAGGCTGGGTCACCAGGTTCTGTGTTCTAAAATTAGGAAAGTTTCTGCACTTGAAAAATCACAGACTTCTGTGGCACACGTAGCTCAAGTCCTTGGTTCTGAAACTGGCTAACTTGCTCACCCGGGCCTCCGTTTGTTCTTTGGTCAAGCAAGTACTGGGCTTGAGTCCATACTGCAGTGGACACATGGGGTACCAAGGTCCAGCCCTGCACTCAAACACTGTTCCCTGGACCAAGACTTCGGGTGCACAAGTTCGGTGCAGCCCTGTGCAGTGGTGGAGCCTGGGGTGTGCCCCGGCAGATGTGGGGCGGGGGAGTGCAGAGAGACTGGGGGGCTGCCCCAGGCCTGCTGTCTGCCCGTGTCTTTCATGAATATTACGGGTGCTTGCTCGAGTACTAAAGAGCAGTTCTGCGAGGAGAAGGGAAACAGTCTTTTTTGTTGTTTGTTTAGGTAAGATAAATAAGGCTTATATCTACTCGGTGCTTGCAACATTGGAAGCTGCAAGCAACTTACAGTTCAAAAATTTCATTTGTTAAAATAATGAACATTCCTTCTTCCGTGCCCTCTAGAAAAATGCTGTGTGTAACGTGGCCTTTGCCAAGGTCTGAGGCTCCAGGTGATCTGTGCAGTGGGTGACTTGATTAAGGTCCTTTCCCCCGCCAAGGGCTCCAGGCCTCAGGTGCTGGAGAGTTCCAGGATCATGAATGGCCGCAGGCTCCAGCTCTGAGCCAGCCCCAGCCACCACCATTCAGGATCCTCCCAGTTCCGGGACTCCTCACAGGCAGTCCAGTACCCTGGCCCCAGTCCGAGTGCCCTCAACCAAGCTGCCTACCGACAGTCACACAAACCAACCAGAGAAACAGCCCTGGCCGGCGGAGAAAGGCAGAACTAAGCCGCCCCTTGCCTCCTCCCCCGGCCATCATCTGTGACACGTGAGAGACCAGGCTCTCGGCCTTTCTCCAGTATTTCCATGGATTCTGCACTAGTGACAAGATGGCACTTGGCAGAGAGAGGCAGACCAAGACAGCCTCCACTGCCCAGCCGCAGAGTGGCCCTATCTGCCCATCACTGGACCCGAGCAGGCTTCTCCTGCCTCCTCTTTAATGAGATGCTAATGGGATGCATCATTAACGCAGCAGCTTTTTAAACCCAAGCTCTTGTAAATTTTCAAAGGTCACATTTTTATGTGGCTGACAGCGTCCTGCTTCCTTCTGTGACGGAAGAACACTAAAGACACTGGTCCCCTGTGGCCGAAGCTCTCTGTGAAGCTGCAGCACAGGCTGAAGGTGCCTGCTGGCCTTGCCCACCACCCTGGGCAGCCTCGCTGGGCTGCCTCTACCAGTTCCGTGTGGACCAGAGAGCTGCTCCCAGACTGCACAGATGCCTGGCCCAGGGAGACAGAGAGGGTGACGACTGGCAGACACACTCAGAAACACTTGAACTGCTGCAGAGCTCTGAGTTCACCAGGCGGTGCACCCCCGGGCCTGCCCCTGGCCTTCTCCTGGGGGTGAGCCCCAGGGAGGCAGGCCCCAGCACTGGGCCTGGCCCAGTAGGTGCCCAGGGAATGCAGGCTGTCTGAGCCTCAGCATCGGCCAACACTGGCTGCAGCACTGCTGCTTGTTCAGCGAATGAACGAATGCACACATGGAGGGAGTGCACTTCGGACCGAGTAAAGGTCACTGTCACTGTGCAGGGCCCTGGAAGAGCCCCGTTCCCCTCCTTAGGGAGGTGAGGTTTCCAGACTGTGGAGGCAGCACCGTCCTGGGAGCTGCTGGGAGGCCTAGTGAGCCAGTCTACCACCCGCTCAAGAGCTCATGGGCTCCAACGTGCCTAGGTGTGGGGGCAGCAGTGCGAGGTGCCAGGGTGATTCCTGCCTCTGTGAGGCGGGCAGATGGGAACAGCTTGGTGAACCCACACGGTGTCTTCCACTGTTCTCCCTTGGAGGCAGAGGAGGGTGAACCGGTGGAACCTGCAGGTCAGTGGAAGCTTCCAGAAGGGCTGGCTTTGGGCATAACATCTGGGCAAGATTCAGGACGACAGAGGGACAGGGACTGAGGTGCCACCAAAATACCCTGCAACAGCTTGTGCATTTTCCGTCTGAGCACTCCTGACAAGCCTGGCTCCAGGGCCTGTATGAGAGGGTGATAACTCTATCCATGGCCCTCTCCTGCATCCCAGAGTGGGGACCTGCAGGGCTTGATACCCTGTCACTGTGTGGAGCAGATGGAGGTGACAGGGCTGCATGGGCTGAGCATCACAGAGCACGGTCCCCTCCCCCAGTCACAGCTGTGACCCTTTCCTGACCTGCACCCTTGCCTCACTTGGTCTCTGTCCTTGCTGTGAGACTAGGAGGCGCCTGTGCTCAGTGATGATCAGGGTCCCACCCTGAAGGGCCCTGTCACCAGTAGGCTGGATGCCTGCACCAGGATTGCAAGGATCACGCAGGCTTAGAGCGGCATAGACCCGTGGTGCCGTCGCACTCCTACCCGTTAGAGGAGGGCCTGCTGCTGCAGGCGGAAAGATACAATAAGATCATGTCCAAATGCAGGAAAGACCAGACGAGGGGGACCAAAGCTGCAGAGAGGGAAACCATTGACTCAGCCCAGGGAGGCTCCGAGCTGGATTCCCAATCAGTCGAAGCATAAGTAAATTCACGGTCTGCGACCCTTTTGACAAAAGAGCATGGCAGATACGCCCCATCCCAGTTATGGGTCTGCCCTTTTACACGGACTCACAGCTTCTGTCTCCATCTCTTGGACCCTGCAGACCAGACTAGTGGCCAAGGAGCACAACCAAGTGACGGTGCGATGGGGCCCTCAGAATTGCCCCCCACCCCACCCGGCCTCTCTGAGTTCTTGTGCACAAACTTGTGAGCTATTAGAAAATGCTATTTAAAGTACTAAAAGCGAAGAGCAAAAAGGGATGGGTGTCTGTGTGTAAAGTTGACTGTGTATGTTGTAA